CCCTCCCAGTGCCCCCCAATCCCCTCCCAGTGCCCCCCAAAACACCACAGGACACACCGGGACCGTTCCCGTTTTTAATCCCAGTCACTCCCAGTATAACCCAGTCCCTCCCAGTGCCTCCCAGTATAACCCAGCATGCTTTACTGGTCCCCGTAGATGTCCTGGAGCTGTGCCACGTTGTGCAGGGACACCTGGTGCCAGCCCTGGGCCCCCACGTGCAGCACCAGCACGTTGCCCCCCGAGTAGGCGTCGCGCCGGGCGGCGCCGTAGATGGCTCGCCGGGCCAGCTCCCAGGCGGCCTCGGGGGTGGCCAGTGACCCCCCCGGGGTGGCCACCGAGTCCCCAGGGGTGGCTACTGAATCCCCAGGGGTGGCTACTGAATCCTGGGAGCCCCCCAGCCCCCGGTCCAGCACCCCGTAGGCGTAGGAGGAGCCCGAGCCCACGGCGAAGGCGGCGCCGGCCACGCGCGTGCCCTCGCTGTCCACGTAGTACAGGCCTGGGGGGGACCAGTATGAACCAGTAAGGACCAGTACGGACCAGTATGGACCACTATAAACCAGTATAAAGCACTATAAACCAGTATGGACCGGTATGGACCAGTATAAACAGTATGGAACAGTATGGACCAGTAAGGACCACTATGGACCAGTATGGAGCAGTATAGACCAGTATGGAACAGTATAAACCAGTATAAACCAGTGTAAACTACTGTAAACCAGTATAAACAACTATAAACCAGTATAAACAGTATGGACCAGTATGGACGAGTACGGACCAGTATGGACCAGTAGAAACCAGTATAGACAGTATGGACCAGTCTAAACCAGTATAAACAGTACAGACCAGTATAAACCACCATAAACCATTATAAACCAGTATAAACAGTATGGACCAGTATAAACCACCATAAACCATTATAAACCAGTATAAACAGTATGGACCAGTACGGACCAGTATAAACAGTATAAACCAGTCTAAACAGTATGGACCAGTATAAACCAGTATGGACCAGTCTAAACAGTATGGACTAGTATGGACCAGTACGGACCAGTATGGACCAGTTTAGACCAGTATAAACAGTATGGAAAAGTATGGAACAGTATGGACCAGTACGGACCAGTATAGACCAGTATAGATCAGTATAAACAGTATGGACCAGTATGGACCAGTAGAAACCAGTATAGACAGTATGGACCAGTATGGACCAGTATGGACCAGTATGGACCAGTATGGACCAATAAAATCCAGTATAGACAGTATGGACCAAGATGGACCAGTATAAACCAGTATAAACAGTAGGGACCAGTATGGACCAGTATGGCCCTATGGTCTCCCAGTCCAAACCAGTGACCCCAAACCTCCTCCCAGTGACCCCAAACCT